CTGGCCTTAACGAGCATGGGCGGGCAATGAGCACTAGCTAGCCCCCAAAGAAAACATGTATCTTGCTGCCAAGCGGACACTGTCTTCTCCAGGTAGCCCCAAATTTCATCCCGTGTGCAAGCACACTCGTCTGCTGAGATCACATCATGAAAAACCACAAATCCGTACCTGACGAGGGGTGCAACATCATGGTTGGGGATGCTATCCACTCAAAAAGTTCATGTAAGTGGCTTTCCCATCCATGCGCGGGCTGCATCCACGTCTTTCACCCTGAGATGTTGCGGTCACACATGTTGGTCCCAACCAAAAGGGCGCCAAAGCCTGCCTCGTATCCAGCATCTAGAATCCAAGGCTCGAAAAGGTTGCAACAAATCTGGCGTCGTCCTTGTCTCGCGGGATGTCCATGAAAGGCGGGTAGGCGGGCCAGCCCCGCCCAACAGCAAGAGGCACCTGCGAACACGGATGACAAACCAAGAAAGCACAACACAGTCAAATGTTATATATTAGACCAAAACTTAGCCTCTATCTCTGTGGGGGTTAAAACCGGCCAATAGTCATGTAACAAACCACGTCACTCTTCATGTAAGTATTCATGTAAACGAAAACAGGCCTTAAAGAAACACGTAAAAGATCATGTAAACAATGTGTGCCTCAATGTTGGAAGCTGGAAGCTGCATCATTTGCCATGTAACAGGCCTGAACAGACAGAAAAGGCGCACAATCAGACAAGCCAATGGCAAAACATTGGCAAAAAGAAGGTAAGGCTCCAACGCGCCCCTCCCATCTCCATAACAAGCGCCCAAGGTGTTGATTGAATGATCTTTGTTAAATCCTTAGCAGCTACCGTGCGAATGTTAGGAGGCCAAACATCTTAGGTCTTAAACACGTGGTTGGTAAGCCTAAGCATGCGTGAGCAGAAGCAAGGGCAATTCCTGAGCATGCTGTTGCAATCTTCGGAATGGTTCCTAGGTACGCAGCTCCAATGTCTCCGAACGGTTCAGAACAGTTCAGGGTATGATGTTGCAATCCCTCCTGAACGGTTCAGCACGGTTCAGGGCATGCTGCTTGCAATTCTTCCTGAACGGTTCAGAACGGTTCAGGGTATGCTGCTGCCATGACTGCTGAACGGTTCAGAACGGTTCATAGTATGATGCTGCAATCCCTCCTGAACGGTTCAGAACGGTTCCTGGGAAGCTTGAGTGACGAACGGTTCAGAACGGTTCAGAACGGTTCTGAACTATACGCCTGCTCTGTGCGCTGCTTGCTAGATGGGCTCCAGAACGGTTCAGAACGGTTCAGGGGCATGGGTTCCAATGCCTCCGGAACGGTTCAGAACGGTTCAGGGGCACGCGTTCCAATGCTTTCGGAACGGTTCAGAACGGTTCAGGGGCATGCAGTTTGGTTGCCACCGTTCCTCGGAACGGTTCGCGAGCACGCGGCTGGCGGTTCCTAGTCCTAGGTAAAAGGTCAGGCCGGCATCGGAACATCGAAAGCGATCCGAAATCTCAAAGCACAAAAAGGCAAAGACTTGTCTGAAATTTACGCGAAAATTTACGCAACCATTTACGCAGAAAAAGGCTGGCTGAACCGTTCTGAACCGTTCAGGGGACACATTTTGAGCATGGAGGTCCGTCCGCAGAACTTGCGTGCACATGTGACAGCATCGATCGCTCCTCTTTTCCGGCCTTTGCTCAACTGGGTTTCTGGAATCGGTTCTTGGATTCCCTGGGTCTTGCGGACAAACGAGGCGAAGCCGCGGCAAAGAGAAAACAACAAAAAACAACGCGCGACAGCACAACGCGGCAAGCAAAGCTGCAAGAAGGCAAGGCTTAAAATCGTCCTTTGCAACTCCTGACTGGTTTGGATCAGCGGCCACGCGGAGACAACCTCGTAGAGTCGTGTGTGCATGTGTGTTTGTGTGTGTGGGTGGTGTCTGTGTGTCTGTGCGCCAGGTGCATGTTAGGAATATAGACGTTAATCTTGATGTTCTTCAAGATTGGCCCTCGCAAGGTCGCCCAACAAAAAGCTGACTAAGTCTTGATTGTTGGAAAGAGCCCTCAAAATATTCTTAATGTTGTTCACGCAGCTGACATAACCAATGACCGGACATACCGGACGTTCTTTGACAAGACGCAGTGTTCCTAGTCCTCGGTTCCTACAACATCTCCTTTCTCATGATCACTAAACACAAATTGACATGTATCTTGGTGGGGGTTCTGGCTGCCTATTAGCATGGCAACGCAACCCAAGCGCAAGCATGGGCGCACACGTTTTTGCGTCCGGCGAGCAAAAACTGTGGCTCGCAGCTACCAGTACGCATGAACATTCATGTCAAAGTTGTCGCGGCTCTTCCAATGGTTCATGACTCATGACGCTTTGCCTTCCTTCAGTGATATGAGCAAGTTAAATTCGCGAAGGGGAAGATTCTTGCCAATACACATCCCTGTCCATGAGGGACACTAAGTCCAGCTCACGCAGGGTCACTCAAGATCGGGCAAGCGAAAATGAATTACAACTAATTTACCTCACTATTTACCATATTATTTACGGACTCTTCCTGTCAAGGGCCAGGCCAACCAGAAAGCTTGATTTATTTACGTGATTGTTTACGCTTTTATTTTCGGGTACGGCGAAAACGACAGACCCCCCTATTTATAGAGGCTAAGTTTTGGTTTAAGTTATATAGCCTTATATAGCTAAATTGGCTAGCACTTCTGGCACAGCCAACGCTTCGAATCAGCACACGCTCTGCACGCTCTGGGTTTCTGCCTGTCTCCTTGCAGCCATCATGAGCCGCGCATGCCTTTGTTTCAACTCCTTCAATCGCTTGTGTTCCTGGCAGGCGGACGTGGCAGTTGCATGCAAATTTGGTCCGCTCTTTGCTGATTTTTGTTGGCTGAGCGCATTGCACATGCGCGCACGCACACACAAGATACCCCTGCACCAAGAATAATAATGACATCATCATCATCATCATCATCATCATCATCATCATCATCATCATCATCATATCGCTGCTTTACAAAATGCGGCGCGCCTCGGCCAGCCTTTCCTTTGACTCGCCTGATCCTGAGGCCGAAATATCTACGTGCATGGCACTTGAAAGAATGACAGCATTGGGTGTGCCTGCAAGTTCCTGCACGAAGCCCTTTTGCACATCATAATCTTCATTGGCTTTAGCAATTGCTGCCTGCAAACTCCTGGCAACAGCCGTTGGCAACAGCAACACTCAAGCCACATATCTTGCACGCTTGAGCCTTTTGTGCTTGCATATTTTTTGCGAACCTGCTCCTTGGAGTTTCACAGTCTCCAAGGCTCACAGCGCCATCCATACGCTCCGGCAAACGTGTTCGAGTGGCTCTTCGCTCTTCCCGTTCAAATGAATGTTTCGCTGTTGCAGCGCCCACCTACAAGATCCACTACTTCTGCTGCTGATTGGAGAAGCTTCAAGAATATCTCTGCACTGCACCCTCTCTCCGGCTTGCGAGCCGAACATCGCACGTGAATTACTTGGCCGGTGCTGTATTTCTGACCACTCAGAATATGCTGAATACTTGGTAGTCATGGCTGCGGGGGCTGCGACAAGGCCATGCAGCCGCCACCATCGCCACTTTGCTGCAAGCACCTATAAGGCCCGCGCACACCAATCGAATCTCGCCGCTTGGGAGCTGCAAACGAGTCACCTTCCTTGAGAGCCGCCACATGCAGAATCTTGCAACAGCTCTCACGCACTCGAACCAAATTAACAATCCCAATCTAGGCCCATCATCACAAGCGGGAAGGCGCACGCACCCACACACATGCAAACGCACTGATACACAAACACAATGATACACAAACACAAACAGACGGACAGAAAAACAAACAAACAAAGAAACAAACAAAGGAACAAACAAAGGAACAAACAAACAAACAAACAAACAAACAAACAGGAGCCGCCCACCCACGCACCCACACACGAACACACACGAACACACACACACACACATTTGCAACCAATCGCACATGCAACATTGACGAGGGCACACATACGCAATCGAGCAACTAATACGCCTACCAATCAAATAGGACAGGACATGACAACAAATTGCCATGTGATGGCAAATGATAAAGAATCTGAGGGCGCTCGCCACAGAAATTGGCAGCGCGAGTACTATGCACATTCTTGAAAGCAAGGCACTTGCCAAACAACTTCCTGCAGGCCCGGTCACAGGCTTGAATATAGCGAATGCATATACAAGCCTGGAGAATATAGAAGCTAGGAACAGCCAGGATGTTTTTTGGGGGAGCCGTGTGACATACCCATTGCCAGGATCTGTTTCGCAGGCATGACTTTGTGCACCTTCTTGGGCAAAACCATCAACACAGACCTCGTTGTGTCTTCGTGGGCCGTTTGATTCGGGATAAGCATCATCTCCAAGTGCGCCCCGGCCAGGAATATAAAACAGGATACGGGTAGGAGCGGAAACTATGCAAAAAATCCACCTGCCTCTCCCCGCGGGGGCCAAATGCGCACGCAATGTTTCTCTTGTTCAGTCAATTGCCTCCGGCACTGCACTACGCCCTTGGCGAGCCCATGGGGTCTTGCCGCTTGGCTGCCGAGGTTCTGCTTTGCTGCATCTTGTCCGCTTGCTGGAGGACTAGGGCGGGTGCATGTTGCCACTCTAAACTCAACAGGCCACATGACAGTCGACCGCCCTGATTGACTCCGCGCGCGCCTTGCTCCCACATGCAGGCCATGCTCTTTGGCATGTGCCGCCAGGCCTTGGTATGCTGATGGCATCACATCCGAGGCTCCAACTGCATCCAACACAGCGGGGCCAAGTGGCGGGGCAAGTCTTCGAACTCAAGCCCGCAGCCCTAGCAAGGCAAGTCGACGGACCAGGCGGTCCATCTGCGAGCTGTCACACAGAAGGTGGCCAGAACTTCTCATACATTTTTCTCACCGGGTCCTACATAGTACGGGACGCACAGCTGCAGAGCTAACGTCATATGTTCCC